AAATTCATTTAAAAAATAAACAAAAAAAAATCACCATAAAAAACCCCAAAAAATTTATTTAATAATTTTACCGTAAAAATGACGAGAGTTATTGCAAAAAAAAAGTCATCGAGAAAATCCCGCGAAAAAAAATTTATTTGATAATTTTACCATAAAAATGGCGAGTTTTTGCAGAAAGAGCAACAGCGGCAGCAGCAGCAGCAGTGTGATTGGAGTTCTTCGGAAGCAATCCAAAATGATCCAGCGATTGAGCAAGATGAGCAAGATTGTGCTGCTGGTAGCAGTGGCATTGATGCGCTAGCAGTGCTGGCTGATGCAGCACTGGCTGCAAACTCCGAACAATTCTCTCTACCGCATAGTATGTCACGCGAAATCCCAGCACTACCGTTCGATGAGCGTCTCTCAACAGGGGCATGCCCAGTGCCACCACCCAAAGCTCTCTGCCATCTTTGTGGCTCGTAAGTCCTTTTTATTTTGCGTTTTTTTTTGCATCTATGTAGTGCTAAAAGGTTGCAAAATTTGTTTCAGAAGAAATACAAATTCAACGTTAATACAGTGCGATTTTTGTGCTCTTTGTTATCACCTTGATTGCTTAACACCACCGCTTTCTTCAACACCAAAGGACAAGTGGATGTGCCCCGCTCATGTTGAACATATCCTAGTGAGTTTTATGACCGTCTTAGTAGCTATGCAAATTTGAAGCATTTAAAGTTGTTACTTTTCGGTTGTCCTTTTTTTTGTCGTCTAAATGCTTCAAATTCGTAAAACCACCAAAGAAATGATAGCCGAATAGTGCAGAAATCCATACTAATCCAGAGTGTGAGATTTTGCGGATTTGACTTCCATAAAACAAATCACTCTTAGCAGCTGAAATCAGCCTAATAACTGCCTTTTTAGTTTACCTCATTCTGTATCTTCCAGCAATTTCACATCAAATATTACCGTATTTTGATGAGGAAGAAGAATCTGTGAATTTTTCCAGATTGATAAACAAGTTTTACAATAACAAAATCTGTGAATGTGATTTCAGGATCAAAAATTTGCCAAAACTCTTTCTTTGCAACAACGGCTACGATTTTGGAATAAATACGCAAGACAACCGGTTGACGAGTATGCTGTCAAATTATCATTCCTCAAAAAAGCTTCTGAAGAGCGAAAGGACTCAAAAATTGAGGTTAATCTCAGATTCTAATCTGCACAACATTCTCTGCTATTTAAACGGTTAAATGATCTTCCGATAAATAGGAAGAAAAGAAAGAGCCCAGGAAGCCCAGCCAAAATTAGTCATTCAAAGCAAGAATTTTTTGGAATCTTGACTTTTCTAAGCGTTATTGTGCTCCATTTTGTCGCCGATTTTAAAGCATAAAGTTTTCTAGCATATGTTATAGAAAGATTTATATCTTCTTTTTACGTGCCACGTCTTTTTATATTATTGTTTCGGGCTAAAAATATCAAGGCCGCCCGAGCTGTCAGTGTGTGGATGTCCCATATTGATGATTTTACTGGTACTTGTTTCGTGAAAGTAGAAAAACTCGCTCCTTTCCTCTGCTCCGCGCTGCATATTCATCCCTGTGAGAGGATCTTCTTGCCAACAAGGTACCTCATCGCGGTTTAGGATTGACGGCGTTCACGGATAATTACACTCCTGGCACCTTTCGGAACGGGTTTTTCCTTGCCGATTGCTTCTACCTGAGGAGCCATTAAGCTCATAGGCGGCGGATCCAGGGCTGTCTCTTGGAGCGGGAGAGAGGGGGGGAGGGGGGGAGGGGATTTTTCGTCTCGCGTTCTCCCTTTATCGCTACACCCCTTTCGGCCAACTCCCAACCCACCTCTCGATGGTCGCGCGGTATGGGATACCCTAGACCCCCTGGATTTGTCAATGGTTGAGCTGGCTTCTGTTGCGGAAGACGAAACAAATTACTGGAACCGCCAGCAATCTAACCAACAAGCGATGCGGCACTGGTAAAAGCAGCTGAAAGAAGTGCATAGTTGGAGAACCAGGCTGTAAATTAAAGCTAATCTAAGTATTCCTTTTTTTCCCGCCGATGCAGTGACGAACAAAATTTTCACTTTGCCTTTTTTTAGAGTAACCTCATGCAGGTGCTGGGCCGGAATTTTTTGTCTTTTTAAGCTGCCTTAGCATTATCCACTTATTTGTCATTTTGCATCCTGCTCTGTCCGCCTGTTGTCTCTCATTTTCATGCGTGTAATCAGACTAGCTCTTTTTGTTGGTATCTTTTTTTTTTATTCCAGCACGTAAGTGCCAAGAATAAAATAATAAACAATAAAAATGGCAAAATATCAATTTAGGAGAATCAAAAGTTCGCTGTTCCTGAGTGCATCAAAGAGCTTTACCAGAAACGATGGAATCACTGGAAGAAAAATGAACTACCGGCTGAAGAGGAGCAAGACGCGTGGTTCTCGAATATACTGCGGTTGCAAAAAATGCAAGCTCAACTGGATTTATGCCAGCAAAGTTGTCCAAAATCGACCAGCAAACGGGATAATGTTGATCCAAAAGAAACAGAAGCTTCTGGGGATCCTGAGTCAGAGCTGGCAAAAACTAAGGATTCAGCGACCAGTCTGGGATTCGACGTGACTGAACAAGATGATATTTATGCACAATGCGCTGGATTGGTAAGTATGAATTACTGAAATATGATATGATACCGAACAAAGTATTGAAATGAAAGCATGGAAAATGCAGGAAAGTTGGTAATTAGCACACCAGGAACGCAGGGCCTAACTGAGAATTAAGTTTTTGCAAAAATAAAAAGTCTGTGGAGCTAATTGCGCTACTTATAAGTTCGCCCCTTCTCGTCTTTTTGTCCTCGTTTCTCTGGTCCTATGCATTTTGACACATGCTCATCATATACGTGGCAAGTAGGAGGCTGTACTGATGATTCCCACTGCTTTCCAAATGTTTGCGTTTTATCTGTGTTTAGAGCTAAGGAATGAAACACAGTCTGCATCCTGGCAGCCTTGTTTGCACATGCCATTTAGATTGATCCCTTATACTTCCTGTCAGAATATATTCGATGGCTTCGATCTGTTACTGTTTTATCGTCGGAATTTTACAGTTAGTAGCATCCCCGTTTCTTGGTGTGCAAGTCTTTTTCATCCACACAATTCCATACATTCGTTCAAATGAGCTTTTTTTTGTTGGCGGACCGGCTCCTGTTCTTCTGGTACTGCGTGGTTACCATTCGCTTTGTCCGTCGCATCCATTCCTGCCTCACAGTTGCTTTTTCTACAGTTCTGGCCGATTCCTGACCGTTGGTTTCGTTTCATCGCCTGAAGAGATTGCCGGGGTATGTATGACCTTAATAAATCAAAAAGGCAATATTTTGTTGGGACCAAAAATAGTAAATCCAAATATTTCTATAGAAATTAGTAATGAAGTGCTCGGAAGTGTTGTCTAGAGCTAAGCTAATAAGAGCCTTGCGATTTGTCACAGACATGTTTTGGCCAGGAAATAATATTTCCTACAAAGCTCAGTCTGAGATTGGGCAAATAAATCATCATAATTCTGGTTGAAAATGTTACTTTTCAGTCAAAAGGTACGATTTCAAAAGTTTCTTTGTGAATATTGTGAAAGTGGTGTAACAAAAAGGACAAAAATTTTTTTGTACAAATTTTCAACTTTTTAATTTTAGGCCAATTTTATCGAGTTACCTTTTTTGAAACAAATTCGTCGTGAATGTCTTTCGTTGATGGAGAATGCTGAAAATCGTGAAACTCGCATCATTGGCTTGCTGGCATATCAGAGGCTTGAACAGTTGTTATGTGCTGCAGGATATAAACAAAATATGAATCGTTTAAAATTTGAGCAAAGTTAGTTTTTAAAGATATGATTTTTTTCACTTTAGAGGGAAGAGGGAAAAAAGGGGGCCGGCGTTGGGAGGGGGAGAAGAGGGAGAGGGAAGAGAGGGGCTAGGAATACAGGAGGTTTTATATTCACTGTCTAGTTTTTTGCGAGATAATGGCTTTCAATGTTTCCTGGTGAACAGCAAGTAAATATGTATGCATATACGTGTGTATATGTATGTATGTTCACGTTTGTATTTATTTTTATGTGTGCACATGAGGTTGTGTGTGTGTGTGTGTTTTTGTGTTATATGTGTTTGTGTGTGTGCACACGTTTAGGTGTGTGCATGCGTGTGTACGTTTCTGGGCGCGTGTGTATGTATGTGTGCACATGTGTGTGCGCGTGGGTGCACGTCTTTGTGTATGTGCGTGTACTTCTTTATGCGACTGCGTGTCCGTATATCTTTGTGTATTTGTGTAGTCGCTTCTTCTCCGTAGCCTACTTGGTTTTGTTTTCAGAAACGTTACGTGCTAATTTACCAGTACTTGCGGTTCTGAAGGGTAACGGTGCAGACGCATATCCTGTACAGAAAATGAACACTATCATAGGCATTGATTCA